TCTTGCCATTTGCAACAGCATGGATGGAACTGGAGAGCATTATGCTAAGTGAAATAAGCCAGTCAGAGAAAGATAAATACCACATGATCTCACTCATTTGTGGAATATAGAGAACAACATAGACTGATGAACAGGGACAGATCCAAAGACAGAGAAATAGCGATCAGACTATCAATCCCCAGAGGGAAAGTAGGGGAGGGTGGGGGTAAGGGGAAGAGATCAACTAAAGGACTTGTATGCATGCATATAAGCCAAACCAATGGACATGGACAACAGGGCTATGAGAGCATGAGTGTGTGGGGGATGGGGGGAAGTTGGGGGTTAATGGGGGGATGAGGACACATTTGTAATACCTTAAACAATAAAGAAATTAAAGATAAAAAAGCAGAGCCTTGCACTCAAATAAATATAAGCAAAACAACTAATATTTAAATGTGGTTTTGTATAAAAGTCCTATACATTATCCATTTTGAATAGAAGGTTAACCTTGTCATCTACATCTTACTGCAAAAGCCTGTGATCCTTGCTTAGTCTGAAACACAGGCTGCCAATGCTCTTGGCCCTCTTCAGAAGATCTAACATGTTTGAATTCCTACAAAAAGTCCAATTACGCAAAGAGAGTTTTCAGAAAGATAGTGTAAGATTAGCTACCCAATTATACTTCTCTATGGTCTTTCCTTTATCTTTGTATTAAATTTGATTTTTAGAGCGCAGTTGGCATTGCTCAGTGGTTGAGTATCAACCTATGAACCAGGAGGTCATGGTTTGATTTCCAGTCAGGGCACATGCACAAGTTGTGGGCTCAATCTCCAGTGTGGGGGGTGCAGGAGGCAGCCGATCAATGATTCTCTCTCATCATTGATGTTTCTATCTTTCTCTCCCTCTCCCTTCCTCTGTGAAATCAATAAAAATGTATTTTGGAAAAAAAATTGATTGTTAGAAACCACAATATATCTTTGTACTTACTACATGGAGCAATTTCATCACAGCTGTTTTCCTACAGATGGCCTAGCCTTAATAATTCATGTTATTATGTTGCAAATATTAAAAGTCAGAAGGTTTTATAACTGAATCTTGATTTTCTTGTTCTATTGGAAAAGAAGAAAATGTGGTAAATTGGGCCCACATTTCTATAAAAGGGGCAGAAAACAGGCTGAACCTAAGTGGTGCTGCCCGTTGTGACTAATATGTGGGAACTCTGCCAGTCTCCCATGACTTTCTTAGGTTTTCCACTAGCCAGCTTCTTTCTGTTATATTATCTGCCTGGTTACATGATACTGAATTCCTGTGTTAGACCCTGGTTATATAAAGATGAATCCTTTAAAAGGGATATAGATTGTGGGATGGGATTTATGCTATGTATGTGTAAAGACTTTATAGATTTATGTATAATGATAGTTCTTTACATAGGGGTTATCATTCCTATCAAAGATCCAGAGGAGTAAAAAGGTAATTGTTTTTTCAGGAAGTATTAACAGAAGTTTGGCTAACATATATTTTATTTGTTTAAAAATAAGTGAAAATACTAGTGAAGCAAGTCAGACTTGATTGTGAAACTCTGATATTAATGCTAAGGAATTAGCAACCCTTCTCAATGGATGATTTATAGCATCTATTATAGGTAATAAATTAACTCTACTTCTGTGCATCTAGAATAGTGCTTTTAAGTAACATCTTTGAGTGAATTGTGAAAATAGCACCTTGAAACATTTCTGAAAGCTAGCTGATGGGAAATGGAATGCAGAAATTATCAATATGAGGAACCATTATGGAATATGAATTCTGTTTGAATATGAATTGGCATGGCAACTTGGTATATGTAATAAATAGCAAGAGCAGAAGTTATGCCATAAGGAAGAAATAATTCAAGAGATATTTAATAAATGTACTAAGTGGAACTGATTCATGGATTTGATGTCAGTTGAAGATGAAAGAAAATTGGGAGATTATTCTGATCTCTGAAGATAAGAAGCTGAATGAATAATAATGCCATTGGCCACATTAAGAATCTTGGAGGAGAACTCGTTGATTTATGAAAAGTTAATAATTTGTATTTGAGTTGTATTGGATTTTAGGTATGTAGAGGGAAAAGTTGAGGGGTTTTCAACACACAGATGATAGTTGAAGTCATGAGTACATAATGATCTAGGAACTAATTCACCAAGAACAAACTTCATATAATGGAACAATCTGCAATTGATCATATAAGAAGTATTTAAATAAACATTAGACAAAACAAGAACCATAAGGAGAAGAATGAAACTAATATTAAAGGGCAGGAAGTTTTGAAAACAAGACAGGTAGTAGAATGAAGATTGATAAAACCTCATTGGAAAGGACTTAGATACAGATGAAGATAAATTACTGAAATGAAAATCTATGTTAGGAAAATAAAGGAGTATAATTTAATTTTAAAGGGATAAAAAAATTTGAAGGGATGGGAAGCTAGAATAAACTACTTGCATACATGCCAAAGAGGAGTACAGAAAGAGGACAGAGAATGTGCTGAGATAGTGTTCAAATAGATAAATGGCTAAGAATCTCTAGAATACCTTTATCAATTATTTTTAATAATTAACATTTAAATTAAATAGTAATATCAGTTTATTTTTTCAGAAGTTAAAATCATTTCATTATATAGATTTTCTGTTTTTTAAGTATCTAGAATTTAGCTAAAAATTACTTAGTCCTGTTGACTTTTCAGCTGTAGATCATTTTTCACATTCTGAACTATAGGAATAAAAAAGAAAATATTAATATCTGTTAAATCTAGTGCAGCATTATTGTGGCTCATAAGTTATCCTCTGTATTGTTCATTTTCAAAATTAAAAATAAACTTAAAAAACAAAATAAGATTACTTTACAAGCTACACATATTTAGATTACAGCTATTAGCAGATAAAACACTAAAGGGTGCACAAGATTTACTTAGTCTGTTTTCCCAGAACAGTGTTGTATAACATAAAACCCCTAAAGATCAGTGGCTTAAAATAACAGGCATTTGCTCTCATGCTTGTGAGTCTGCAGGTCAATTGTGTCTCAGTGGATACACATAGGCTCAGCTAGATGGCACTGATTTAGGCTTGAAGTTGGCCTTGGGCCTGCTCCAAGTATGCTCATTCTAGAGCTCTAGCAAGAACTACATGATTTTCTGGTGGCTAATCACTGGAGAGCAAGAGCCAGGCCAAACCGCTTAGCCATGTTTAAGGTCTCTGCTTACTGTCATATACACTAACATTCCATTGGTCAAACAAGTCACATGGCCAACCCTAAGTATCAATGTTCAGAGAAGAATACTGGACCTACAGTGGGAGGGGTGGATGAATATTGATGAACAGCAACCTATGCTGTCACAGTTTTCATATTAAAAGCGTATTTCAGGTTTGTTAAGAACTTAAGCACCCACACTGGAATAAAATGAGTCAACTGTTTTTAGTTTCCCCACATTTATTTAGCAGTTCCAACTTGAGCTGGAGCTTCAAAGGATTTTGCTGGCACATGTGCTACCTTGTGTATATTTGCAAAGGACTTTTCTCTTCCTGAGTTGACACAACCCTATGTGTACACACCATGGTGAGTGTAGCTACCATCAGCTGCCATATGCCCACTTGGTGAGGTGCAACTGTCTAACTCTTTATAGTGGTCCTGGAGTTTCTTCAGGCAGAATTGTAAAATCAAAAAAAATTACTTCAGAGCTTTTTTTCATACACCTTTCCTATTTTGTTGTTCCCTCACTCTCCTGTTGTCCAGTCTTACCCCAACCCTGGACCTGTGGCATCTCTTTAAGTTACTTATTAGATACTTTCCTTCACTAAAAATTGCCAGTCCTCTTTCCCAGCACCTTAGCACATCCTGTTTGTCTACTGACATTGAGTGGTAATGTCCTTCCCATCACATGTAATCACTCAGCCTATGTACTAGTAAACTTTGTGCTTGTCTTAAAGCAGATGTCACATGGTGTTTAGTTTGCTACCTTCTTGATGGCTTCTAGAAATTTCATCAAAGAAATATTTAATGTTTGTATCTTTTCCTGCTTAAATTTTGTTTTAGATCACTTCAAATAATTTAGTACTGTGTCTTAATATACTAGTACAATATAAAATGTTAAATATTTCAGTAAAACTACTTTCTTTTTTAAAATATTTTTATTGATTTTAAAGAGGAAGGGAGAGGGAGAGAGAAACATCAATGATGAGAGAGAATCATTGATTGGCTGCCTCCTGCATGCCCCCTACTGGGGATCGAGCCTGCAACCCAGGCATGTGCTCTGACTGGGAATCGAACCGTGACCTCTAGGTTCATAGGTCAATGCTCAACCACTGAGCCACACTGACCAGGCAGTAAAACTACTTTCATATAAGTTTTCTGTAGCAAAGAAACAATTTTTTTCATGTATCTATAAATACAGGAATTGATATACATCCAATGAGCGATATACTGTTCATAGTTATGTATTGCACACAAGCTTAATAACACATTTGTTTCATTTTATTCCAAATTTGAAAGTAGTTTTTATTATCAGTTTTCTAGAATTCTTTAAGACCATCATTTTTTTTTTAGATTAAATCTCTTGATGAAGAAAATGTGGTTGGCAAGATTTCCAAGCAATGGACTGGTTTTGTGAGAGAGGCATTTACAGACGCTGATAACTTTGGGATCCAGTTCCCTTTAGACCTTGATGTGAAAATGAAAGCTGTGTTGCTTGGCGCATGTTTCCTCATTGTAAGTATATTCTTGCTAAGCTTGGGTATTTATTTAATATCATTCTGAAAGATTCAGTAAAGTGTACCTTTTTAAATGACTTGCTTAAATTTATAGATTATATTCAAAGGGGGTGCCATTTAATGCTAGCTCTGAAATTCCATTTTCTCCTGATAGTCTAGATTCACAAGTGACTAATTTCTCTGGAAATTCTATAGTTTCACATGGCAATAGAAGGACTGTGTGTTATGGAGAGGCTCTGCTCTTTGGGGCTTCTATTTAAAAATCAAAATAGGTGCACTCAGATATGTGCTAAGGTGGAGTAGAGCCCAGTGAAATGGGGAGATTTTGTCCTGATTCTTTATTAAATTAACTGTTCTACTACTTGAGTGCGAACTGCAATAAAAGTGCATCCAATCCAACCACCAGATGGAACTGCCAGTTGACACACACAGGATAGAGCAGTATTCTAAACTTGTCTTCCATTAAATCACTTAGTGGTTCTCAACCTTCTAGCCCTTTAAATACAGTTCCTCATGCTGTGACCCAATCATAAAATTATTTTCCTTGCTACTTCATAACTGTAATGTTGCTACTGTTATGAATCGTAATGTAAATATCTGATATGCAGGATGGTCTTAGGCGACCCCTGTGAAAGGGTCGTTCGACCGCCAAAGGGGTCGCAACCCACAGGTTGAGAACCGCTGACTTAGGGAGATTTCAAAAACCCCCAAGTACCAAATCATACCCCCATTCAATTAAATCAGAAGCTCACAATCGAAAGTTTGTTGTTTAGCTCTTAAGGTGATTCAATATGCAGTCAAAATCAAGGACACCTGAAAGAGAGCAACAGTTCTCAATCTTAGCTGCACAGTAGAATCACCTGGGTAGCTTTTTAAACTCCCTGTATCAAGACCGCACCCAAATAGTGAATCAAAATCTCTGGAGATGGGATCAAGCCTTCAAACTGTTTACATCACTTCCAGGTGATTCCAATCTGCAAGCATGGTTTGGAACATCTAAATGAATATCTTAAATGTTTATTTGGGGATGCACTCAGAAAAAAATAAAATATGAGAGAATATACAGCAAAAAGATCCATTTCCTTCAACAAATAAATGTCAGGAAAATAAAAAGATAATAAAATGAGAGAGACTTAAAAGATATCAACTTAATGCAGTTTATAGACTCTGTATACTGAATCAAACAAACCAGTATAAAAAGACATTTACACCCTGTGCTATTAATTAAACTTTGGAACATTGAAACAGGCTAGGATAAATGAATGGGTAGAAAAATCTGACTCTATTCACTTATCTCCCAGCCTACAAAATGAAGAAAGAGAAGTGCAGTGGACTTTATGCAAAGGTTTGATTAGTTCATTCAGCAAATAAATGAACAAGCGCCTGTTGTGTCCCAGCAGCTAATATTGGCACTAGAAATACAAGGCAGACGGATGAAGTGTACATTCCGGTGATAAGGAAACAAACAGTATGGTAACAGCAGAGTGTTAGACGCATCAGGAATAAATCATCAGAGTTGTGATAAAGGAAGAGGGTACTCCAGGGGGGCCTGTGAGGAAAGGCCTGTCCAGGGAAGTGGCATTCAGACTGAGACATGAGGGTGAGGAGGAGCCAGCTCCGGGAAGCAGAGGGAGCAGTGAAGATAAGATGTAATGGTTCATAGCTTAGAGGCCTTATACGTGCACTTTTAACCTTACAAGTACATTATGATAATTAATTTTGTAGCTTTTAAAAATGACTTTTATCTGTTAAATTGAGTGGTTAATGTCCTAGAATGGAATTGAAGTAAACATTCAATGGCCTACACTGACAGGGTCCTTTCAGTGCGTTCAGGTCATGCCTTGTTGTCGCTTGATCACTAGGTATTATGACGCTGTCCCCTTTTGATCAAATGAAGACTGCCTCCAATATCGGTGGATTTAACGCAGCCATTAAGAACAGCCCACCTGCCATGTCTCAGTACATCACTGTAGGGTCCAATCCGTTCACTGGCTTCTTCTATGCTCTAGAGGTAAGAGGTTCCTCCCTGATCATGGGTAAGGCCGCAGACTGAGTTTTCACCTTGTCTAAACATGGCTATGGTACCTGAGCCTTACAAAGGTTGAGCAGTTTACGTTGCTAAGTTTCAGTCTAACCTCATATGAATCTCGGCTCGCTTTCTTCTAAATTGTTTAAATTAACTGAAAGGTACTGAAGTCAGTGTAAAACAACTGAACTTTGTTTCTGATGGCCCGAGTTCGTGGACACCGAGTTGCCTTGGATACTGTGCAGTGGTCAGAAGCTCGGGGCGTGGACCAGCCCCCGTGGGTTTGCGTCCGTGAGGATTGTCAGGACAGAACTGGCTGCCAGCTGTCATTATCCACGTGGTGAAAATGGCTCCTTAAAACAGGAGACAGTTATATTTGGCAGCTCTTACTTCTCGCTTGAAAAGCAGCCTTCTCAGAATTGCCTACCTAACCTATCTTTTCACTTTAGTAAAATATATATATATTTTTAGAAAGACTCTCCTAAAGTACATACCCTTGACCGGAATCGAACCTGGGACCCTTCAGTCCGCAGGCCGACACTCTACCCACTGAGCCAAAGCACTCAGGGTTAAAATATATATTTTTTGTAAAGAGGGCAAAGAGCAAGTTGTGTATGATTGGGAAATCCACAGCCCTGATATAGTAATGCCATTTTAATATCCTAGTTTAAAAGTTTCAATTAAGTTACAACTAAAAGAGGGAACTCCTAAAGATAAAATGCCAGTGGCTTTGACGTCTTCATAGAAATTTCAACATTGACTGGCTATTGATGATTAATGACTTATTGGTTTTTTTAAGATCTGATATTTATGTAATGGTATAGGGAAGATAAGGCAGTCAGGATGTTTGGATAGATAGGACATGGGATTGGGGGTGGTAGTGGGATTGTTAGTAAATGACCATGGAATAGATTGGGCTTCTACTAAAGGACTATTAAGGACTGTGCAACTTCTAATAGACATTGGGAATACATTGAAATGGTTTTAGTTAACTCATTATGTTTAAACTAGGTATAAATAAAATAGTTATAAATCCAAATTTTAGAAAGATAAATCCTGGTGACTGTGTGAGAAATGGATTGAAGAGAGGTATAATTGTAGTAGAGTAATTGCAAGTGATTGCAAATAAGGATTAACTTATTTCTGTTGAAGGGATAAAGGAAAATGATAGATGTGAGAGATAAAATCCATAGGATTTGACTTTAAGTCATGGAGGAGAGAATCTAGTTAGGCATTGATGGAGTGAGACCAGCTGGGGACAAATTTGGAAGAGAAATCATAAAACTGGGCCAAACAATTCTAAGTGGTATTCTAACTCTAAGATGGCTTTCATTCCCCTGAAATAAATCTAAAAGTTGTACATGGTATTCCAGTCTTAAGAAAAGTTATATTATTAGAGAAAGAATATAAAAAGTTTAGGAAGAAAGATTCAAAAAGAGTCATTACGGGAGACCTGAGAAAAAGTGAAATTGAGAGAAATTATCAGATGACCAATTAAATCCATACAGGTATTAATAAGTGATTAGAATTATAGGATGTAATTGCTATTAAAATGGGAAGCTGAAGCTATCAACTTTTCCCAGATCTACTTATAATAATCAATTTTCTTGGTTAGCAGATATGTCATTCTGTTTCATCATATTTCATATCCCTTAGCATTTATGCATCCAAGAATTGACCTCAGTTTTATTACTGAAAACTTATTTCTGTATTTTGTTTTTATTTAGGACTTCATGTTTTTTGAAAGCACTGGAGCCAAAGAACAGAGAGCAGGAGTATGGTAGTGGATTAATAAAGATCTCTGAAAATGTGAAGTCTGAATATTGATTGGGACTATGTACAAGTAAAAAAATTAGTTTTCTTTATTGAAATTACTTATAAAATACGTGAATTATACTGTGATGCCTGAAGCTTCGGGTATATAATTTCCAATTTCAAACCATAGAGTTTCTTTTCTGTATCACTTATAAATTTGCTTATACATTTGCTTTCATTTTATACATTTTGTATTTCATTGTATATTGCAGAGAAATAACATAAGGAGTTTTACTTTTAAACATTGATAAATTTGCTTTATTTTCAATTTTATAGCAAAATTAAAATGATTTCACATAAGATTATATATTATTTTATTAAATTTAGTTTCAATTACATATGTAACAACTAATGTCATTTTGCAAATATTGTATATTCAAAAAAGTTAAAAATGAACATAACTTCAGTTTCCTTTACAATTATGTTAAAACTAGAGGCCCGGTGCATGAATTCATGCATGGGCAGGGTCCCTCGGCCTGGCCGGCGATCAAGGCCTACTGGGGGGCCAGCTGGCCACGGGGGAGGGGCCGTGATTAGGTTGGTCGGCTGGGGAGGGGGAGGGGCCACGGGA